ACACAGCTGGTCACATTGCACACACAGCTGGTCACATTGCACACACACACAGCTGGTCACATTGCACACACAGCTGGTCACATTGCACACACAGCTGGTCACATTGCACACACAGCTGGTCACATTGCACACACACACACACAGCTGGTCACATTGCACACACAGCTGAGAGGCAGAAAGAGATGAACTCTGTTACTCCCTTGACCTCCTTCTCCCCTTTTTCTTCACCCCAGGACCCCCGCCCATGGAATAGGGCTACCCACATTCAGGGTGGTCTTCCCTTCTCAGCAAAACATGTGTAGAAATACCCCTAAAACTGTACCCAGATGAATATATCCCACACCCTCCTGAACCACTTGATGTCTGCAGTATCATCAGGGTGAGCCAGAGGCCTCTTCCTGGGCCTCACATGCTGTGGCTCTTTGGAGAGAAAGACTCGGTTGAGCAGACACGAGCTGTCGAATGTTCTCCACCGTCGAAGCCATCGCTGAGGTTCTGTGAAAGCACAGTCCTGAGAGATGGTGGCTGCTCACAGGTTGTTTCCAGAAGTGTCTCTCCAAGCCCCGGAGTGCAAATGTTTCCAAGCTGTGTGTCTAGAGTACAGAGTGTCCCAGCGTTTTTGTAAAGCCTTTGAGAAGTCTGAGTGGGGATATAACTTGATGGTAGAACACTTGCCTAGACTGGGTAAGGCCCTCACTTTGATCCCCACCACTACTATATAAATAATAAAGTTTCAAAAATGCGAATATCAAGCATGACAATGCATGTATTCTGGAAGGGGGGCAGAAGGATCAGGAATTCAAGGTCCTTCTCAGCTACAGTGAGACCCTGTCTAAAACATCAGCAACAACAATAAAGCAAAGCTACCCAAACAAAAATTCTTAAGTTATTGCTCTCTTTATTTTTCATCTCCTTTTCTGTTTCAGGAGAGGAAGTGATGACCACTTGATTCTCATTGACTAAAATCCTTCTAATGTCAATCAAGTCCAGACCTCTTTCTCCTGTGGTGGTGCAGAGAGAACCCAGAGGGAGAAGAAGGTCACTAAAAGATTGTCTCACTGAATTGTGGATCCAGAAGGACGAGTGTCTGCCAGCTTCTGACCAGAAGTGACATTCCAAAGCTACCTTTTACAAGCATGGAGGGCAGAGGATAGGCCCTTCCTGGGAGTTAGTTGAAGGGAAGTGTGATAATGACATTTCATCAATAGTCTGCTCATTTGTGACATCATAATGTTGGGATGAAAACTATTAGCATTTCAGAGTGTGCAAGCAATATTTAAAGCTAAGTAAAAGTATATGCTTACTGCCAGAAAAGGTTTGTTTTAAAAATGTGATCCTTGGATTTGAAGACATTTGGTAATTCATGGCCAGCACAGAAATATATTTGGTTTCTATCCCAAATTAAGACTTGAAGCTGGAGGACTGGTAAGCTGTGAAAAGTCTCGCACTCAGGCACTAACCTGAGTAAAGATGGCTGTTTGTTCTGTGAACTTGATTCTTCAGCATGCCATGCTGGGTCTTTCAGCCCAGTCAGCGGGATGTAACAGACCATATGGGTATGTCCTCAGCTGAGCTTTCCCTGCCCTGCACACACAGCTGAGGGCTGCTAAACTTGAAGTGGTCCCCGGGTCACAAGTCATCCCCACTGTGGTGGGAATTTACCTATGTCAAACAAGGAAATATGATGTGTGTTTCCTCAAATAAATTTATTTTCACAATGCTGTATTGCATTATTACTGTGTGTTAAAATGCAATGTCTCTCAACAGCTACCAAACGTGAGTTTCATATCACACCCCTTTAAACTACCTTATCTCCACGAGAGATCTCTCGTTTTTTGAGCAAGTGGTAAAGGAGCTATGTGGCTTGGTCCATAGAAGCTACTCAATAAAGATCTGGGCTAATAGCAAGGGATTAAGATCACCTCAAACACAGATTTATGGCATAGCTGAGATATCTCAGGGGCTATGAGATCTACTGGTGTGGAGTGAGATTTGAACCAGCTTCTCAGAGCTGCTCCTGTCCTGGCATTGTCTGTACGCCAAGATCCTGTTGTCAAGAATCATTTGTCTGATTCTCCTTCTGCTCCTTACCTTTGATCTTTCCTCATTGGCTTACATCAAACCTAGGCAAAGAAAATCATACAGTCAATAACATTAAAATTTGTAAGAAAGTAAATGATTTGTTCCAGGGCTGTCATTGCTGTTCTTGGGGACAACCAGAGTTCAGTTCCCAGCACCCACATGGTGCCTCACAGCCTCCCTAATTCCGGTTCCATGGGGTTCCATGCCTGCTTCTCACGTCTGGAGAATGGGGCAGATGCATAATGCAAGCAAAAGACTTATACTCATAATACAAACAAATCTTTAAAATTTTTCAAAGAAAAAGACTAATGCCTACATATGGACTGCTTAGTTAAAATGTCATTTTAATTTATTTTTCCTTTTACGGAAAATGCCAAGATCATAGAGTTTGGTTTTGAAACTAAAGACCATCAGATTGAGGTTCTAGACTTCATTGCCTGGTTCCAGATCAGGTGTCTGATTAAGCCGTTGCTAGCCGTTGCTAGTTGGTTCTGACAGACTAGATTTCCAGGCTGCAGCTGTGACTGTCATTTGAACAGAAAATTAATGATGGTCTTGCCCATTTTTAGCTATTTTTTTTTTAAATTGGCTTTCATGTTTCCTTCCATTTCTTTTTGTTCCACTTGACTCAAATACTTTCAGAAAGGAAAAATCTTTTTCAAGGTTACCATGGAAACATTGTTTTTTCTCTTAATCATTTTAAACAATTGCCTTGTTATCTTTTGGATGTCACTGAACAATGTGGTACGGTAACTGCTAATAGACAAATCTGGGACAAACCATTTCCTTTCTTCTCTTAGACCTCCTCTTGGGGACTTCGCTGTGACAGGGGATAGTTTCTTTCTTCCTTTTAATTGCATTCTCAACTCTCTACCCCTTGAAGAAATTGCTTCCTTGGCTTACAGTGACACCCAAAGCTGCATGCAGAATCTTAAGCTGCTGACTTGGAACGGCAGAAAGAGCTTGGCATGGGACCCCTTGAGTCACAGTTCCATGCAACCTGTTGCTTTGGGGTTCAGGACAAGCCACTTTCTGCCTTGAGAGAGTGGGGATAAATCTCAATGACTGAGACTGGCCTGCATAATCCAGCACTAGTGTGGACCTTGAGCCTCTTTCTGTTCCAGTCTCTGCTATATTTAGAAGTAGATTCTATTCATTCATGCAACGGTGCAGACAAAGCATTCGCTTCTGTAAACTAGTTTGTCAGAGATCTTCTCCTGAGTTTCTTTGGACAGGGCAAAATGTGCCTCCATTTCCACAGGTGTAAAATGGAGATTGTGAAAATTAAGAGTCAAGTTAAAGTTCATAAAAAAAGGGGGGGCATATCTTTTGGTTGCTATACTAGTAAGTCATTGAAACGCTCATCTTGCTTGGCGTACAAGTATGCGCATCTATTCATGGCCAGCCAGGAAGATCTTCATCTTCTATGTGATTGCTGTATACTCTGGCGGACTTTGTTTTGGGTAGGACTTTAGGGACACAAAAATCCAACTCTGGGTCTGTCCTGGAGAGAATGGTTGTTTCAACTCTAGAAGCTCACAAGTGGTTGCGAGGTGTTCAGGATGAAGCAGCCTAAATGTCCTGGGTGCCCAGCTGTCCAGATGAGATGGCGAAGGTCCTGAGGAACACACTCTCTCAGTCCCCAGTCCTCTACCAGGAGCTTTTGTGTCCTTAGCCAGCTAGTCTGACAGCAAAGTGCAGGACAGCTTCATTCTCAGTCCATTGATCCAACGAGGCAGATGTGCAGGAGGTGAGGGGCTCCTACCCAGGCAGATGTGCAGGAGTTAAGGGGCTCTTACCCATGCAGATGTGCAGGAGGTGAGGGGCTCCTATCAATGCAGATGTGTAGGAGTTGAGGGGTACCTAGCCAAAGCTCCCCATTACTATTTTCACTGTGTGACAAATAGAGAGTAGTGGAATGGTTTGTTCTGACTCACAATCAAAGGCAAGCCAACCCACCACAGAAGACAAGACAAGGCATGCCCGAGGGAACCACTCCTGGCTATAGCGGCAGGAACGTGAGGCTGCTTGTTCACATTTAGCTCCATCACGAAGCAGAGAAGGGAGAAATGCTTCTTCTCTCCCTGTTTCCAATATCAGTCCAGACGATGGTGCTGCTCATATTCAGGGTGGGCCTTGCCCTCTGCTCATCTTTCAGCAAATGCTCCCTCAGTCACACCAGAAGGTGCGATTCACTAATGTCCTGGGCTAGAAACCATCACAAGCCCTTCGCCACAATCTACTCAGAATCCTGCGGAGCCCTGACTCATTGGAAACTCAGACGTGGAGCCTTGAGCGCATGAAGTCAATAGCACAGCTTTCTTATCAAGGACAAACAGCAATCCCAAATGCCTTCACCTAAAAATAATCTGGCTCTGGCATTGAGGACCAGAAGTCCAAAGTCATTAGCAAAGTGTGTTCGGGAACTGCCCTCTGGTGCTGGCCAGGGTCCTCTCCTGACACTACAGGGAGCTGTGGGTCCCTCACCCATGCAACCCTTTACTGCAGTGACTTTGGACAGACTTCACTGTTAATTACTTCCACCCTTTTCACGTGACCTTGGCAAATTCAGTCAGGCTCTCTGCCTGATGTCAAGTTTGAACATTCCAGCTTCATGTTCTCTACCAAACATGCAGAGCCTCCTGTGGTTCAGACTACCCCAAGCACAGAATTCTCTGTACTGAAGGAAAGGTGCCCCATAGCCTGGGAACTGGAGAGATTTGCTGTGGCACTTGAGATTCCCAGCGTTTTGACACAGATGATATCTGGGTCAGCTTGGTGATGGCATGACCTGTGCATCCTCAAAGGACCCTCCACTTGGCTTAATGGCCTGCCGTCACCAGTCCTGAAATTCTTAGTGTACTTTGGACAAGGGGTCCCTTGTGTTCATTTGTCGGTGGGCTCTGCAAGGGTAATAGCTATTCTTGAGACGACTCAACCCAATGATTAAAGCATGCTTTAAAACTTAAATTTCGATTTAATTTTAAAAACATGTTTAACTGTTTTGTTTTGTACGTCTCTGTATATGAGTGCTCACAGAAGCTAATGTGGGATCCAAGGAGCTGGAGTTGCAACCATTTGTGAGGTGTACCCAACAAGGGTGCTGGAAACCGAACTAGGGTCCCCTGCAAGAACAGTACAGGCTCCTAACTGCTGAGTTATCCCTCCGGCCCTTAGAGCATGCTTTAAATACCTACTTTCCCCCTTTTCTTGAGATTATAATATTGCAGAAGCATGCTTTTAAGAAAGGATTAGAAGCCAGGTGGTGGTGGTACACGCCTTTAATCCCAGCACTTGGGAGGCAGAGGCAGGTGGATCTCTGTGAATTTGAGGCCAGTGTGGTCTACAAGAGCTAGTTCCAGGACAGGTTCCAAAGCTACAGAGAAACCCTGTCTCAAGAAAGAAGAGAAAAAGAAAAAGAAAAAGAAAAAACAAAAGAAACCTAGGTGTATATTTGTATTCATCACAGTTTTGTTTTTGAGGCAGGATCTTACTGTGTAATGCAGGCTGACCTCAAACTGATTACATAGCCCTGCATGAAATTGAACTCAAAGAAATCCTCCTGCCTCAGCTTCTTGAGTGCTAGGATGACAGGTATGTATCATGACAAGTGAACCTTTTAATTTAAATATATAGTCGAAATAAGTGAGCACGGGTTGGAATTGTGTTTCTTAAACAATAGACTTCATTTTTAAAGGACGTTTTGGGTTCACAGCAAAATTGAAAGTGAAGAATGTTATCATAGCCTCTCTGCTCCCACAGGTGCCCAGCCTCTCTCTGCATCCAGGTCCCAGAATAGAATGGTACGTTGGCTGTCAACCCCATCTGTGAAACCGCATAGGCGAGCGCATCATCACCCACAGTCTATTGTTGCATTGTGCTTCACTCACGGTGTATGCTGTATGGGTTTACGAGAATGTGTGACAGCGCCCCTGCTGGACGTTCATGCAGAGTGGGTGAATGTGTGATAGCACCCCTGTTGGGTGTTCATGCAGGGTGGGTGAATGTGTGATAGCGCCCCCTGTTGTGTGTTCATGCAGGGTGGGTGAATGTGTGATAGCACCCCCTGTTGGATGTTCATGCAGGGTACTTTCCCTGCTCTAAACACCACCTACCCTGCTTGGTCCTTTCTCCCTCCTTCTTCCCCTGATCTTAGTAACTGCAGACCAATCTTTACATGATCTCTATCCGCTTCCTCTTTCAGTGTGCAATCTAGTTGAACTCCCACAGTCTATCGCCTTTCGGGTTGACCTTTTTCACTGACAATTGTTAACCGGTTTCCCCCATGTCTTCTTATGTCTCCTGGGTGGAGGCAGACGAGGGGAGCTCAGTTAGAGCACTTACCCAGTCTGTGGGAAGTTCTGGTTTTGATCCTCAGCACCAAATAAACCAAACCCATTGTCATCCCTGCCTTCTGGGAGGTGGAAGCAGGAGAATTGGAGATCCAAGGTCCTCTGCTACATATTGAAGATGTACATAGTTCTGGAAAGCATGAACATTTTCCAACAACCAGAAGACAAATAAACAAAAAACAAACCAGAACAAACCAAAACACTGTAACCACCAAAAAAAAAAAAAAACAAAACAAAACAAAAACAAAAACCCACAAAAACCTAAAAATCATAACAAAGGGGCC